TCTTGATTTGGATTGTCCGATGCGCCCGTCGTCAACCATGGAGCTGGCGCCGCGATCGTGTTCAGCGGCACAGCATAACTTCAGGCGTCCACAACTAGAGACATCTAGCGGCGGGAGCGCGAATGACTGGGCGCGCCCGCGGCTGAAGCGGAAAGCCCCTGCTTTAGTGATTGCATGAATAACTACAATACGCTGATAGATTTTCTTGGTGCTTGTTTTTCTACTGAGTCATATTGATGGCCTCATTTCAGGTCAGTATTGGTTTTCTGCCCACGGTGTCCTCCGCATTACTGTTTCGGTGGCTGGGTTCGGCCTGTGGTGTCAGTTTGGAGTCCCTGACCTAGGCCTGGGTGTTATCACGTGTGGCACCGCTGGCCGCTGGGTCCGCGGCCCTGGAGCCCTCTGACCTCCGACAATCTCCGTCAGTGCTGGATCGAGAGCGTGCGGCTTTGAGAGCCGCTAATGGTGTTGTGTGGTCGCATGACCGTCAGTGGCCAATTGTTTGTTTGCGGTTGTGCCGGGGCGATATCCGGCCATTTTTGTTGATAGGCGGCGACTGGTCTATGTTGCCAGAAGGTGGTTGTTGTATTTACAGGGTGGGGCAGAAAGATTTACCTCTTGATTTTCTTAAATATTTCGGCCCTGAACAAAGATATCAAATTGATTTCTGGCACATATATGCAGTAGCATGTACACTTCTCAGCGACGGCATTATGGCTCAATATGGTCACCTTGTCCTTCACCACTGCCACGAAATGTTCCTCTGCGGAGGGGCACGAGCGCCGCATGGTGTCCCCGCCAAGATTCGACGGTGCCGTCTCAAGGGCCAGCTTCAGGGCGGCGATTCTGCTGTGTGCTGCTGCGCACACCCTCCTCTCCAAGATGGTCCAGATTGCGAAGTCCATCGGGTTCAGGTCTGGACTTGATGATGGCCGAATGTCTGTGTCCCAGAACCCAGGCATGTGAGTCTTCCACCACGGTTGAGCGATGTTGGCCGTTTGCGGTGGCGCACCGTCCTGGACGAAGACGTATCCGTCTCGGAACGACTGAGTGACCCAAGGCAAAACATGTTCCTCCAGCAGATGGACTTAAACCTGTACATTAACTTTCACAGCCTCCTTGATGAAGACCAAGGATCCTTTTGAGCCGTCGGATGCGACGGCAGCCCAAACCAAGACACCAGCAGGCTTCTGGCGACGAAAAATGGTGCGAATAGCAGGATCAATGCTGGATGAACCATCTGCCAAAAATTTGACGTTTTGGGAGTGTCTCTGGGGCTCAAGCATGAACATGTTGTCATTGGACCAGAAGAATGCCTTGTTACCGGCGCTCCTGATTTCCTCCAATGTTTTTTGGGTCCTGTGTAGCCGCTTTTCCCTGGATGCCGCCGAAATTAGGTGCCGATGTTCCATCCTGTATGAAATAAAGCCCAAGCCGTCGTTTATGATTCTCTTGGCGGTTCTGGGCGAAACACCGAGCTCCCTTGGCAGTTTGCGCATGTTTCGCCTAGAACTTGAAACACCTTCTTGTGCACGATATTTACCAGCTTTTTGAAGCAGATATCCCTTATTCTGCCTGGCATGGACTTCGTCGACGCCAACCCTGTCTTTTTAAGTCATTTATTTACACTGCAAACAGTTTTTACGGCAACACCGAGCTGTTTGGCAACGCTTCAGGAGCTATGGCCAACCTACTTTAGCGACCCAATTTGGGCTCTCTTAGTCAGCTTCGCCATAGCTCACCAACAAATATTACGAAATGCAAAAACGATCTTAATGTTGATACATGAGTCAGTTGGGAAGCTGCATGCCAAATTTTATCAAAATCCGTTCAAAACTTTTTGAGTTATGGACTGAAAACAAACAGGTAAATCTTTCTGCCCCACACTGTATTGCATCCAGATGATGGCTTGTGGACCTATACGTAAACGTAAATAGAGCCTTGTCCGATTGTACGAATTTTGTGGTGAAATGCTCTGACTGACTTGGCCTGGTATTTTTTTACGCGTTTAGCGGTCTGTTGCCAATTGTTCCATTATTGTTCTTTCTTTTTTGAAGATTATGTTGATTGTTTGCATATCCCATGCCAATATCGATTGTTACTAAGAAGTTATTTTGTTCTTTTTGTGATATTGAAGCCTTCTTTAATTTTTGCTCGGAACTGGTAGCCATAACTTCCAGTTTGGTGATATTGACGCTAAAAGCTTCACCGGATCATGCATTTTCCCTGGGCAGATCCCAGCGGTGACATTCAATGAAATATTAAAGGGCAACCGCTCAAAATTGCATGGCATCTCTAGGAAGCAGCTGTGCATGGTTACGAGCTTTTTGAGGGCATTGTGGACAAAGTGCCCACTAAGAATGCCTTTAAACATACGGCCAAACAAACGTTCATGACCATTGCCCGGACTTCCATGACATAAACCCTCTGTTTCTGACGGGCGTACTCGGTCTGCCCCAACGTCGGCCCATGGTATCTCGGACCATGGTGCTGACCGTCTCGCTACGGCGGGGCTGGTCGCGAGGGGGGGGGGACTGTTGTCGGGGAGCTGGATCGCCGCTGTTAGACGTCGGGACGAGACCACCGCTGAGACTGGCTTTCATCTGACCGCCACCATTGCTTGGTTGTCTTGGGTCCCTAGTAGAGATGTCAATCGGATACCAACTTTTTGGTAAACCGATACCAAACCGACACCAATTTGGTATTTGGTATTTCAATCCTAATAAGTTTGGTATTTTGTTGGTATCATGAACCCTCATTAATGTATAAGAGGCTAAGAAATTGGTAAAAAGTTGGTATTTCCCTCATGTTCTCAAGATGGTTTGGTTTCGGTATTTCCCCACGGTGTTAGTTGGTATTTGGTTTGGTATCGGTATTTCGATTTTCTGTAACTGACATCACTAGTCCCTAGCACGGTCGGGGCACGCCCCCGTCCAGCGTCGAATCACCGGGTTACCCACCGCCGTCGGTCTGTGTGTGGTCAGACGAACTCAATTCGCCGCTATAGTGACAGAGAGCTCGCGCACAGTCCTTCAAACAGGTCCCGGGCCTTCCCCACTGGGCGTGACGCGAGTCCCGCGTCCGATGGAAGGCCATAGACCACGATAGCCGGCGGTGGTGCGGACGTGACCGCTGATGACACGGGTCAGGCGGCAGAGGCCATCTCTCAGTGCCGTTGGCAGCGACCTTGGCAGCGGGCAGTCTGGTGGATACCCCCCCCCCCCCCCATCTGTCCCCCGCGCCTACTAGCAACACGCTCTGAGCCGTGTAAGCACCATAAAGCTTGTTTACGCCGTCAGGGATGGCCAATAAATGTATCCCATTTCCGACTCTGTCACCATACTAGGACTTCAGTGCTGTGAAATACCAGACTGGATGCAGTAGTCTTTGTGTTTTATTGTTTTGTTTTGTTTTTATTTTAGATGCTGGGCTTTTTCTGCGCACGAACTGTTCGGTGTAGTGCCTAGTCCTACTTATCATAACACGTACGAGTAAGCTATCTCAAATAACGGATAAAATGAGGACATAAACCAGGCGATGCTTACATTGATTTATCAGTGTCTCTGTTTCTCGTCTTTGTCTTTCCCCACATCTTAGTTCTTCCTGTTGTTGCTATAGGAACTCCGCGTCCGCTTGACACATTTCTAGCGGACTTTATTTCGTGGATCAACACTGGCCAGCGTCTTTTCTCTGCTGGTATGTTTTTTAGGATGCCAGGAATGTTGTTCGCGAGCTTTTTGTTTCCGAAGCTCAGAATTACGTTGCTCGCTAGCACATAGAAGGACAGTAACCGTTGACGCTATGAAAGGTTTGTTTCCCCTTCTGCGAACAGCTCCCCCTCTTTTTTATGGAAGCGAATTGGAACTATTGAATTCGTACCGTTGAGCCTGTGAAGCTTTCGTTATGGTCAATATATCCGCTGTTCCCTCGCCCGTATGAAATTGACGCCGGTGGATCGGACCGTGCTGCGATGCTATTGACAATTCCCGCTGCGGTTTCCGGCTCGTTTGATCTGCGCCGCCGCCGGCTGTGGCTCCATCGACCTGTTGATTGCCGTAGTCTGGGTTGGCGGACATGTGGCGTGAATCGCTCAGCCACCACCGCGCCTCAATTCAGCCTGGATTGCCGGGGCAGCGGCGCCACCAATCACTGCCTGGGGGCGTGAACGAGCCGTCCGTCACCGCCCCCCTCTCCCTTCCCCGGTACCCAACAGACGATCGAACGCTGCCGTTCAACGGACCATCGAACTATGCCGTCTGGCAAACCGTCAAACCACGCCAGACAAACCGTCACACCGCGCCCCACCAACCGTCAAAAACCGCCCAACAAACCGTGACAACCTAACTGACAAACCATCAAACCGTGAAACCACCTCCAGACAAACCGTCAAATCCCCTCCGAGAAACCGACAAACTGTCAGACTGCCTGACACCGTCGAACCCCGCCTGTCAAGCCTTCAAGCACCACCTAACAAACCGTCGACACCGACACTCATTGAGCTCCATCGTTGGACAGCCTATCAGCCCCCACCGGACTACTGATGTCGACGCGACCTTGACCCTCAGTTCTTGTAAGCCGCTCGGCACACGACCAAACGAGCCATGCTAGCCGCGTCGGCTGCCACGGGGGCCAATCTGTCTGCGATGGCCGTGGCAAGGTCACTCCGAGGCGAGGGTGATCTCATGGGTGATGTTGTGAGGCCGGAGTCAGTCGGGACGCCGTCTTCTTGCTGAACTGCTCGCTGGTTTTGTTAAGAGGATCATCCCCACGGTGTGCTTTCGGCGTGTATCTGGATCTCCCAGCTCCCGCCACACTGGCTCTTCTTACGTGTTTTTTACAGACAGACCAGACTCTGCGCCATGCAGCGTCGGATCGACACCATCACCAGCTCTCCCCGTGGCTGAGGTGTCATCGGGCCCTGATTTCCCCAGCCACACCGTACACCGAGCTCGCCGGTCCTCCCTCCGCCATCACATTACTGACTCGCTCACCTGTTGCAGGTACAAGTTCTCGGAAAACTCATGACGGCCGCGCCTGGCGCTGGGTCTGTCCGCTGGCTGTACTGGTGGACTGGGGGCTCCCCACCTTACTTTGTCACTCGCGCTGCCCACCGGATGGAGTGCGGAATGTGGTGGCACACCACCCGCCGGGACTGGAGCGGTGCTGCTGATTGCGGGAGTGCTACTGACGGCTACTGACGGTGACGTACGCGGTGGGGGAGGGAGATGGTCTGGTTACGTGCTGCTGCGCATGTTCATGGTGACGTGGGCTGCCGCTAACAAACTAGCGACTATGCTGTTTTTGATACGGGCTCTAATGATGTGGTGTTTGTTTTGTTTTGATAGGAGTCGTACGTGTCCAGAATGTCAATGAGTGTCCTGATACAATAGTTATCCGTTCGTTGTGCGCTGCCTGATGTGTGTATACAGACAACTACAAGTGATGTTAAAAACATCTGCTCTTAAAAAAATCCGTAGCTGCTTTATTGTTTGAGATACTTTGCCTGATATACTATTTTAGTGTCAGCTAGCAATTGGTGTAAAAACTTGTTCACAAGTTCAATATATTTTTAGTTGTGTGGAAACTGCCATCATTTCAGTTCGCAAATTTTGAATTACTATTCACACTCCATATTGTGTTTTCGCTGCCATTTTACAATGACTGCAACACGTCAGAAGAATACACATTTCCGTTGATGGGTCTGTTTTTTTCTGTTGTGTTGCCCGCGGCTGTGTCTGGCGCCGCGGCGTGTCGGGCCGCTCGGTCATCTGCCCCTGTCGGCCCTGTTTACGTCTCCACGCGCCGTCTGAGGAGGAAAGTGGCCGGCTCGTGGCCGCGCCGCCGTCCGCCGACCCCGCCACTAGTTTGATGGTCGTGCTCTGTCCCTGACAGTTGTTTGCCGCAAGCCACTATTCATCCCGACTTGATTTGCATAGGCCATTTGTGTTGATATCATTCGGAGCCTGAGAGATTTAAAGTGCGTCTCCAACTGGTAAATTGGGAGTGATTCGGCTCTCGATGATTGAAAAGCGTGTTGTCGCATTTGCCTGCAGGCGATGGGTTACATTCTGCGGTGAAATGATTTTCACGTTGATTCCTCTAAGCACAGAAATTATATGAAAGGCTAGAGTAATCGACAATATTTTGGCTTTCGTTTCAAATACGTGTTTATTTTGTATGTGCAATTCGAAACATTCGGTAGACGTGCTATCAAGTTGGTCGCAGAGTAGCTATCCCGTACGGTTCGGACAGGCTCTAGGCACCCGCTCACTGATAGATCACTGATCAGTCGACTTTTTATAGTTCGCCGAACGCTAGGGCACGTGTCCTCCCTCAGCAGGTCAAAGGCGACCTTAGGGTGGCGTCAGATCGTAGTTATTCATACGACCTAGGCGGCGTTATTAGAAGTTATGCCGTGTATGCCCGAGTGTCGCGGGCTGTGACAGGCCGCATACCAGTTATGTGAACGGTCGAGCTATGTGAGCGGTCGGCCGGCCTGCCAAGGATGTGAACTCACAGTGACGCGCCGTTACGGCTCATATTGTCACCCCTCGTGATTCCTGACTCGTTAAAAAACTGCTGAAGGCAGTGTGTTTCTGTACCGTGAGTTTGTCGGAAATGGTTCCATGGTAAAACATACAGTGCTGCCGTGGGGGTTGGGGTTGGAGGTTGACGGCGCTTCGCCGAAGACGCGACAGTTACCTGTTGGTTTATCATCAGATGACGTTATGGTTGTCGGGTCACGCGACATAGAATCCCATCAATGCCGGTGCTGTGCTGGCCCGAAAATAGCCAACCACCGCGTCGTCGCCGCCGGGCCTCACAGGAGGCGCACACCGGGCGGTCAGGATGACACTGCGCCGGGGGGACGGCGGAGACAGCCCAGACGGCACAAGACCGCAGGCAGCGCCGGCCCGGCACTGATTGTCAGCGCATGACTCACACCACATCACACAAACGCGCGCGCGCCGCCATCGGCGAGATGATATCGATTCGAGAGGTAACGATATTGCAGAGATCAGAACATCGCATAAATAAACAAGGCTTGTAAACACAAACAGCGAGGATCAAATCAATAAATACGAGCACACCTGTTATTCCAAACACATCAAATGTGCACTAGATGGGCCTTATTTGTTTTCATCAATCTTGATGTGCCTTATCAACCTTGAATATAATTTTGGAGAACGTTTTGATGCAAATTAGTCATTGTATCAGCCATAATGATCGATGCGCTTGGTTACGCGCCTAGTCAATGTCGCGTTAATATTGATACATTACATTGAAAAACGCGGATCTATGCTACCAGTTCGAGTATGAAAACACTCCCAATCGCGTATTTAGCAACAATGCACGCTTACTGAGTGCTACCCCATAACGAGAAATGATGACACTGGCGAGTGACGTCACACTAATACACCGCAGAGACCATCACCGACATTAATCGCCTAATGAAACATGACTGATAATCATCCCAGTTTGGTGCGTCACTCCATATTTCTGCAAACATGAAACAAATGAATGGCAAGAGTGAACAATGGGCAATAAATATTAGGTATGTACGGTGATACTTTGGGCCAGAGCCTATATCATGCCGCATCAGATGCTGATGTAGAGTCATGTGCAACATCTATTCACACACTTATGAGATTATGTCGTATCTGATTATTCTTGCTCACACGCATACGAGTACTTCACCGGTCGTCAGAAACTGCAGCCTTGCTTCACCCCATACTTTTTCTGAACAGTACCAGCCATACCGTAACCACTAATACCACTCTTTCTATACCGTTCCACGACTTTGTCTCCAACCCAAGCCTCCACAGCATCCCCTCTGTACCTACGCATCTGTACCTCTAGCTCACGCGCTCTCAGACCAGCTAGAGGGACCACGCCCGGCGCGCGGCGCCGTGCGCGTGCCATCAAACGTCCGTCTTGGAGCTCTTGGAGGGCACCATGACACTGCTGTGTTCACGGAGTCCGATCGTCTTGAAGAAGGTGTCGCGGAACTCCTTGGTGAACAGACAGTAGATGTAGAATGTCAACGAGTAGTTGACGATCTCCAGCACGTTTGACACGGCGCGGAACACCTGGAATGGATACGACCACATCATGGACTGGCTGAAGCTGACACTCAGCACCACCATCGGCAAGTTGCAGAAGAAGAAGAGTGTGGCCGTGGAGCCGAGCAGCATCATCAGACGGTGCTCGTCGGTCTGCTGTGCGCGCTGCTCGCGCGACATGTGCACCAGCGAGCGGCGCTTGCGGCACACGCGCCGATACGACCAGTAGATCTGCAGGTTCAGGTAGGTGATGGCCACCGTCGGCGCGATCTTGTAGAGGATCTTGAGCGTCCACTTGTAGACCAGGTAGTAGACGGACTGTGTGAAGGCCAGGTTCTCGGCGATGCGGTAGGAGGTGGTGCCGTTGACGCCGGCGCAGGCCACCACACTGGTCCGCAGCGTGTACGGCGAGAACATGATGAAGGTACAGACGGGCAGCACGGCCAGCGTGATGCGCGCCCGCCGGCCCTCGTTGGTCTGGTTGTGCGCGCGCACCGGATGGCAGACGCTGATGTAGCGCTCGGTGGTCAGCGCGACGAGCATCAGCACCGACAGGCCTGGGGGCAGAGATCATAACGTCAGCACCACAGAACTGGGAATAGATCATAGCATCAGCACCGACAGGCCTGGGGGCAGAGATCATAACGTCAGCACCGCAGACCATGAGAGGGCACAGCCACAGATGCATCAGCCCCGGCAGACCTGGAAAAGTGCTGCACAGACGGACTAGTCGCCGCCTAGAGGCAATGTCGATATGTATAAACATATAAAGGAATGCACCAGCGCGCGGGCTTGGCAATAAGCTCAGGTGGTAAAGAAACACTGAGGAAGGCATGTGAGGACGTCATTCTCTGGGGAAGGCATCGGCACTGGCGCATGCCACGCCCTTAAAGTCAAACAGATGCATCGTTTCGCCATCAATGAGAGCCGTTTACCAGGTTAAACATTCAGGGAGCCTGGGGAGAAGAGAAAGCGCACATAAAAAGGTAACGCGGGCGATGGATGACCTGTGTCCAGCAAAGAAGGGACGGCAGGGCAGTGCAGATATGTTGAAGGCCAAAGTTGTTATACCATTACCGCGTTTGTTTTACTCAAACAAAATGTTCCTCCAATCAAATGCAAAAAAAATGTGGTGTATCCGCTTTCCGGGCTCCGCTCAACTCTGGTCTCTGACAGGTCACTATCAAGGCTGTTACGCTTGTGGCATGCAACGCAGTCCGTCGTCTTATGTGGTCCCTGACTGACAGAATTATTTCATCGCCAGTACACAGGCGCGACAGGCTTTCTATTTAAGACCGTGAAATCCCCGAGAAACCATAAACCACCCAGATTGTGCGCAGAAGTTATATTGCTCCAGGGACTACGGTACATTATCCGGAATAAGCCCGGCGTCTAACACCTGGCCACCACCCGATCACGCCCCTTAGGAGGGGTCGACGGCCTGGGCCTGACACGTGTGTTATCCGCGTTATCCTTCCACCGAACGGGGGTTGCCGACTTCCGCACTTCCGCAGGTAAGGATAGTTCCATAGTTCCCGGACAGTTGGGTGCTGCATGACTCCTGGACCGAGACAGACCACACTGGGACGGGTTTGTGGCTTCGCTACAGGTTCCAATCTACACCCCAGTTCATTCACTGCAATTCAGGCATGACGCTGATTCGGTGCAATATGTTGGAAGTCCACTCCAGTTAATCTCCAGTAGTCAAATCAAGTCCAGTCTAGGACAGCGCACTTCCGTCACCGATCCGCCTCAATCCAGCCCAGTACCGTATAACCCTCTCTCTCTCTATAGCGAGAATCGCCCCCGCCTATCGCCAGGCCGTCCGCCACTGGACAAACATCCCACCGCTGCCGTCGCTGCCCGAGGGCACTGTGGGTCCGTCCCACCGGTCAATTTGAGCTCATCCGCAGCCACCTGCCGCAGCCGGGGGCGACACACTACCGGTGGATGACACTGGTTCGGCGAAACGACGCGTCCGACGCTGGGCAGCCGGGCCAGGTGGGTGAAAGGAACTGGGGAGGTTGCGAGGGATGGCAGACGGACCTGGGGAGGTTACGACTTGCGACTGACGGTGGAAGGAACTGCGGAGATTACGAGGCATGGTAGAGACTAGAGAGAACAAGACAAGTCACGAAGTGTGGTTAGAGGGGATTGAGAGGTATACGAGGGCATGGCGAACGGAACTGGGGAGGTTGCGATAGGTTTTAGACTGAGCTGGGAACAACGCCTGTTACGGCCTACTTGCAATCACTCACGATGTGTGGATAGTGAATACCTACTGATCTTCCCTGAATATCACTCGTAAAACTATTGATCCTCGACGCTGACAACCAACGAGCTGCGACGCATTCTATCGACTTCAGTGTCATTAGTTTTCAATAACTGACGCCGCCCGCTGGTGTCGTGGTGCCGCCCAATGGCCTGATACCTATCACGTCCTCGTGACGTCCAATGGATGTGGTGATGCGTTACAAGTCGGCTAATATTGGCTGTAACCGTCGTGTTGAGGCGCCAAACCAGCATCAGTACAGTTCGGCTCAAAGGCAGTCTGGGTGACAGGCAATGGCACCGGCCCAGGCCCCAGAGTGACCTCGGATACCCGTGTTACACACATGGGACACAAACTTGCAATGACAAAATAGGCATTCTTTGAACTTCGAGTGTGGATGATTCTGTAAATGAAAATGATTGAATTGAGAATGAATTGTGTCGAAAAAAAATGAAGTAAATCGGAAAATATACTACCTTCTTTGAAGCTATCGCAAAGATAATGAAGCAATTTTCTTCAGCCTGCTTTCGCTTCGTTTGGCAATCTACAAACATTGTCAGAACTTCTGGAAACTGAGGCGTGCAATCTCACGGTAAACTGTTAACAATCACAAACTTTCCGCATCTTCTCGAGTTTCGCTCCGAGATTGACGCTTCATCCCCACGTCCCCACCCGAAACCACTGAACTTCTTCAGCATCACTGAGCCTAATCAATCCCGTCATCACACAGAGCTCGCTGTAGACCAGCGAGCTAAGTGGCGCGGTCGGTCTCACCGTATTTACTCGTTCTTTTGTTACGGCATCTCCGGTCGCACGTGCCGGTCCCACGGCGGCAACCCAGTCTCGCGGCGGCGGCCCGTCCCATTTGCCGGTGGCCGTCCGTCGGCGGCGTGGCGTCGTTACCGTCGTTTTTGCTCCGATCACGGCCGTTTTTCCTCCCGACAGCCAGTTGGCGGGACGCGTTGGCCCGCTGTTCAGGTGCAGACGGGTACGGGGCATGGTGATGCCGGTAAACGGTGACGGGTTTACTGTCGCTGCTAGCTGGTGACACTGAACGAGGCTCCTAGTCTTTTCCCGACTGTTCCTAGGGCTGCTGCATCTCTCATGGCTGCGCTGTGTCGGCTGGTCCGCAGCTCGACTACCCTTCACCGGTCCTGGTGGCCGCCCGAGCCCGAGCCCTCGGCCACAGCTCTCGCGTGACGCTGTCCGATCTCAGGTGCCATCTCAGCGGCGAGCGAGACTGCGTGATGTGATTTCTCGCAGTGGCGGCTGCTCAGTGATCTGGAGATCCAATCGACAGCTGATCGATCGGCAGGCACGATTGAAACCCGCATGGCCTCTCTTCGACGGCAAGGGGGTGCATGTGTCTAAGGGTGTTGTACTGCGCCGTGAGAGCTCGAATTGCCTGTTCAGACCTCTAACTGCGTCAAAAGCACTGCGCCATGGCATGCCACACTACACCTCAAAGTGTTGTGCTGTGCCTGTGAAGCTTGCATTTACTGGCCTACTGCGCGGTACAATCCATTACATGCTGTGCCGTGTAAAGCGGCACTGCTCCAACAGCCGACTGTACTGCGGTTCAGTCCTCTGCACCTACTGGCTACTGCGCAAGCTGAACTAAAAGCATGCCAGGGTCTCCCGGCAGTCACGCGGCGCAGATGCATGGTTCCCTGGGCACTGGTGACGTGCAGTGATGTTACAAATTGGCTGTTTTTGCACATAATCCATCCAGGTGATCCTACGTGATACAATGACTTCCAATCACTACAGAAATATGTCTGCAATGTGCGTGGGCTTGCAAGACGAAACATGGAGGTACTTTTATATCTACATTTATTGGAGGTGATACGTCGGTAAAGTCATAACGAAAATTCATTGCTCATACTGAGCTTCTCCGAGAAGTAGGACAAAGCTCATATCTACTCCGTCAATCACATCTGCAGTCATATCGGAAGTCTCATCTGACGAATCCAATCAGCTGCTCTCCAAGCCCATAACAGTGCGTGAAAGGCTCACGCACTGGGCGCATATCAGCCCATCTCCCATTGATTAGATGAAAGTGCGTATCCGCAGAAATCGCGGTTCTCTGGCGGCGCAGAGATGGGACTGAGCTGGCGCCTCGGCGCGGGATGCGGGCCGGCTCGTCCGCTCGTTTGTGGGGCGACAAGGAATGATGGGATCGAGGCGGGCTTAGCGTGATCGAGGGAAGGAGCAACGGACGGCCGAAATCCGGACGGTCCAGAGAACAGGCCAAATAAATGACATCCGGACGTGTTCGCTGGGGATGGAGCTGGCAAATCACCGTGCCCAATTGCTCGACGCGATGAGGGTATCCATAGCAGAACAGGTCATCAAACGAGCGTGCGTGTGCGTAGGCCTGTTGGGATGTCGAAAGATGAAAATGACTTGGAACGCGCCTCATCAGAAGTGCGTACTGGATGAGAAGTGAAGGAAATTGAGCCATAGCTTCTCGGGAATTTTAAACATTAGTTTGACAACGCTGAATTTCTATTAATATTCCACTAAATGCTACGCGCTAAGCAAAGACTGAGCTTGCAAAGCACATGCATATAGTTGCGACTTACGAGATGCATGCGACTCGGCTTCTTTTTAGAAGTAAAAAAGCGTTTTCCGCGCATTGCTGTCAGATACACATTGATATTAGTAAGATAGTCAGAGAGAGCAGACGACTCACCCAAACGCAGAACATCTCCAGTGAGCATTTACGGTGATTGCAAAGAAACGATGGCAATCGGCTACTCCGCCTAAATCCCTGAAACTCAGGCGTATTTAACTTAGTTGCTATCTGCCGTCCAGCTCACCCCGACACCTCCGTAATCCTGTGATAGACAACTGTCGGATGAACGCCTTTCAACCACCGTCAGCGCGGCACCTAACGACCGGCAGTGCCGATCCCTCCGCCTCGATGGTCGCCTAAAAACGCCCTTCTGAGCGCCATTCCGGCTCACTGGACAACTCGAGCTCCCAAGAGTGCTCTGCCGGCTTCGAATTTCGAATCCGAGTGGATCGTCCGGCGTTTTTCGTTCTCCATTTCCGGCCGGGACCGAGCGGTCGCCGGCGGCCGGCGGCAGACCGCAGTACGCCCCAGCGCTCAGACGCGATCAAATCAGACACCTCAGGATCTGGGTCACCGCGAGAGAGACGGGGCGCGGCGACGGTGCACGCATTCACAGCGTGACGTCACCACTGGCGGACGGTCAAAGGCGCGCTGCGGCGGCCCGGCGACGGTGACGGCTGGGACTGACACGCCGCCGTCGGCGCCGGTACCGTCTCGGCTGGGTCGGGAAGAGGCGGAGGTAAATCAACTAGTCGAGCCACGCCACCTGCTTCCGACGGCGGTTTTGCCGTAACGCCGTCAACACTCGCCACCGCCGCGCCGCCAGCGGCCCATATTGCGTGTGGCAGCTTTTCATCCTGTCCGAAACAGGCGTCACATTTAGTGCCGCTTTAGACAAGGATAGGAAGTGGCTGAGTGCTAACTAGCTGCCGCGTAGGGCACTGACTGGGTCCTGACTGATAGCTGAGTACAGTGAGTAGGGCTCCGGCTCTGCTGATATGCACCACAAGTGATGTGTCTCATTGGACGCTGTCTGGACGGCGCGAAGACGTCACTGTGCGATTGAAGTATGAGGATTGAGGACGGGTGACGGTATAACGGTGTTAAATATGACGATATACGAGCGGTTATATACGAGCGGTGGAACGGACGTGCAGAGGGACGTACGAGGTGTCGAGCACGCCACGCAAGCATGCCGTGGCCGTCGGATGTCGTTCTTTATTGTAATGACGTGTCCGTGAATGAGCTATGCCCGAAGTTGATAAGCCGCTGAGATCATTCTGCATAATCGCTCCAGCGCAGGTCCGGAAGGTATGACCTTTCTATAGTCAGCAACATCTGGACTGTTCCTCTCTGTTGTTCTCTACTCCCATGGTTCTGTTCTCTGGTATGTACAGGGTCAAGTGCCGTGGGCATGCTGAATTTTGAAACGATTATTCAGCGTAGATATTGAGCGCTTTTTAGTTTTAATTTATGACACCACCAGCAGTACTGATTATTGAATACATTTGTATGCCCCTCACTCCTCAGCACCACATCAAAATGAATGAAAAGACCACCACCTAAAGAATTCGACAGCCCTACCAAGCACAGCGTGACGATTTATCTAAGCGGCCTGCGCGGTCGATTTGGCGCCCGGCTCCGCCCCGGGTTTCAGCGACACAGATGTATCGGCCGCTCCGTCCCGCCGGAGACCCGGCCGCCTTTGGCCGCGGTCGGCGAACCAGGGTCGTTAGCACTCCGACTTTAATCCGCCGCTAAACCACAATCACCGGCAGAGCACCCTTCCGGTCGTGACTTCCGGTTTGGCCGGCTGCCTTCCGGTCAGAGTCGCTCATTGGCTATCTCGCTGCGGGGGAGGGGACTATAACCGGGGCAGAGGTCGAGATCCTGCCAGTGCTAATGATGTCAGTTGTCACTGCTGCTGCGTGCCCCTCCCCCTGGCTACTGCCACACTGTCCCCCCCCCCCTCCTGACCTGCAGGGCACTGACAGCACAGGCTGATGGGAGGGCGTTTGTTGGCAGCGTTAGGATTGTCGCGAGTCCACGTGCCAGATAAGCGCGGGTGAGAGGAAGGAGGGTGAGGTGCGGGTACGAGAGCGAGAGAGAGAGAGAGAGAGAGAGAGAGAGAGAGAGAGAGAGAGAGAGAGAGAGAGAGAGAGAGAGAGAGGGGGAACAGAAAGATCAATGGATGTGTGTCAGACGAAGAAAATTCAGGACGGCAAAAAAGCTATTCGGGGCGATGCATTGACGTCAATTCCTGTTCCGTCTGCCACGTCTCAGTCCTGCATGCAACATGCATCCCTGTGTTGCCCCATGGGGCTGAGACGGGGCAAAATAATGGCCATTGTGTGGCACCAGCAAATTCTGTGGAATTTCTGAAGGCCTTTAATTAATGGCGTAATTGCTTAAGTTGAACTAGAATTCCGATCCTCACTGCCCAGAAGACAAATTACCCAGCTACCCTGGCGGCTGTCATGACCTTGGCCCATGAGCCCATGAGTGCAATAACGTAAAGCGATCCTGGCAAAAGCGCCACACGGTATAGCCGGATCGGTACAGCTCTTATCCAGCATTGCAATACGACACCTGGGGGAACCATATCTACGAACAATACCACGATGCAAGGTCAGGTGGTCAGCGGGGACTGCTCTCGAATCCGGGACGCCGAAATGTCGCCAGAGGTCATGGTCTTTTCGCCGTCAGCTCAACGATGATTGCGCGTTCAGAAGATTGCAAGTTCAAGGAAACAGGATAAACTTTGACCGCATAGAAACTTTCAAGCGTCACCAGAAGTAAAAGGTGTTGTCTTGAGGCCCAGTTATTGAATGTTGCAGTTTAGACCTAGACGATGTTCACAAGGTAATTGGTAACGCTTAGTAAAATTCGTAGCCGCTGTCGGCATGTTGATTGTAGGTATACCATCAGCCATGATGACCAGACCAGCTGTGCTTTGTTTCAGTCCGTGCTCCCGATGTCTGTCCAAAGTCCAAACCCACTCCGCCATATTTCCCATACCGCTTTGCAATCAGGCTAGAGCCACTCACCGATGAACCCGTTGCCGAGGTAGAGCTCCAGTCTCGCGAAGTACAGGGCTGCTCCGTAGTGGCTCCACGAGCGAGCCTCGCCGTGTACCAGGATACGCAGACAGAACGGCACTGCCAACAGCAGGGCGACCAGCGAGGAGGCCGCGTACCCTGTGGAAGAGAGAGGGCTGGGTTAGAGATGGAGGGCATGGCAAAACTCTGAGTTCTATGCCGGGAGAGACAGCTTGGTCAGATGGCAATTTGCATTACAAAATAAGCTGGAATGTTCGAGTGGATTGAATGATCGGCTCTAACCTCTATCTAAGCAGAGCTTGATGCGCAGGCCGCGACCTTTACTTACAGTCTAATAGGGCCATAGAGAGTGATCGGAAGAACTGTGATGGCGAAATTTGCCCTGACCATCAAAGCCGGACACGGTTCGTCCCACTCAACTGACTTCAACACTACACATGCTCCCACCAACAGCAGACCATTCTGTCAGAGTCTCATACCTGCATCGAGAGACTGCGTACCCTGCGACTGCGACTCGAAACTACACTCTTAAGGCCGGAACACAGCACACGCTTGCAAATCGCGTCGAACTCGCGTCAAGCGCGGAAATCGCTTCGTCCGCTGTGTTTTCACTTGCAATTCAGCTCGCAACCCGCGTCGAAAACGCGTCTCGCTTGGAAAACGCTTTGCGCTCCCAAATCGCGGCTGAAACGCGTTGATTATTGATTGCACTTGACCTTTGCACGTGACATCTTAGCATATCAATGCGTCTGTTTCATGACAAAATTTTATGCGACATTCTTTCGATGAAAATTTTTTAGCTTTGGTATTTTAAATGAGAGAGAGATAAATGACCTTCTCCTCGATCATTAATTAAAATCAGCACAGGTTAAATGTTACTTTCTTTTGTAAGAAATTCCTTAAAAAACAGTTGATGCCATGCCACACAGGTAGTTCATCATGCCACATTGGAACTTAACTATAATTTGTTCAGTCAATTTTAGTATTTTAGTCAGTATTTGTTTGCCACGTATCATGGTCATTGGTCACAATCGGTTGTTCAGAAGTTTTTCAAGCGAATACAACACCGCTCTTGCAAATCTAACAACTGTTATCGTTCAATCTAATCTAGCAATTCATTCAATCTAATAATCCAACGATTACCATCCGTAAGTAAACTACATGTTTCTCCTTTTGCGTTATGCAAATCACAGGATATACTTAACCCTCGCCCGCACATGCCATTTTCCCATCCTAGAACGCACATGGGGGGGGGGGGAGGCGTGCCATTCCCCCGCGCCATTTCGTTCCTGTTGGAGATAGAGCTTCGCGGTAGAGACCAGAAAGATTCTTTGGGAAGAGACAAATCCAATGATTCCCAGTTTTACCTTCTCAGGTCAGTCGTTGACCTTCCAGGTCAGGTCAAACTAAAAAAAAAATGTTGTTTTGGGTCACCGTTGCATATCAAGTGCGCTGCTCATCATATAGGTACCGGGCGATGACGATGCCGTTTTGTGGTGCCAAGCCAGCTAGAACCTTTTTGTCACACTATCCGATCAGGTTTTTGCTGCTGAGGTCATTTCAGGTCAAGTTAGGTCAAGGTCAATGATATGTGTTTGCATGTCTGTGAGTGTATGCGAGATACTGATGTGTGCACCGATTGTTTATGTGTCCATATTACATGAGATCATGAAATGAGAAGGTTTTACCAAAGATACAGTCAAAGAAACTTCACGAAAAGTAAATTCATCTTGCCTAAATCGCAATGATTTTAGATGATGTAGGGGTGGAGACTCGAGCCCGGGCCTGTGGGTCTGTCGCTATCTCCCCCTTTATCAGCTACTTTACTCTACATATGACAAGTGGTTGGCTGGGACGTCTCCCTTGTGCCGTTAACCCGTCTGCCACCCGGGCCACGTGTCATTCTACATGTGCATCTACGGTGGGGCCGTTTACTCGAGTGGTTCAGTGGTGAATGCTCGCCATTTGGTAGCCACGCGGTGGGTAGCGTGCCGATGGCTATACTAATCTAATGAGCACCAAACCCTTAAGCCAACTAAAGTTAACTGGCAAAACTAAAGTACCGACATAAAATTGCTTCCACTCTTTTATTCCTCCTTCTCGTATTCCTCCATGAAAAGTTGATATCGATTTTGCAAGTGGCTGCGATGGTCAAGTGGCCCAAGGAGCGGGTTCGGTTTTTGGTAGGGGAGGATGGGGTAATTTGGCCGCTTTTTTAGGAAGCGCTGTAGCTGGGAAGTTGGCGACAGACTTCTGCACTCTCTCAAGGCTGGCAGGTGTAGCATTCATTTTACTTTCTTTTACAGCAAGCTGAAAATGATAGAGCAACTGCTTATGCCTGAATTTTGTCGTTCTACAAAGGTTTGCAAAGCGGCTTAATTGCCCCTCTAGCAGGGTTATTTGGCCGGTGGGGTACGGGTAGAGCAATTTGGCCGGTGTTAATTTGAGGCCTGGATTTTATGTTACGGGCAAGTCAGCTTCAGCGCCAGCAATGACATGTGTCCTTTACGCATTTTTAGGCTGACTCGATGTCGGACTTATCTTCGAATGATTTTGACTCAGGTCTTATTTCAGCATTTTCCTGCACAACTGAAAATGCGCTTCCTTAGCATACACTGCTAAATCAAACATTTGCATTTTATTTGTGGTGAGAAAACGTTAACCCTCGCCGGCCGAGGGGGGGGGGGGCGGGTGCCGCCCCCCATAGGTTTTTTCGCGATAGCTCCGAGCACGCTGGCGATAGAGAGCTGAAACTTGGAATACCTGACCTTTGATTCAAGCCGGATCTTTTGACACCAACTGCATTTTTGGGTCAGGTCAGGTCACTGACCTATGACGTCATAAGTGAACATCTGCACGGTCTTCAGATGTCGCAACTTTGCAACGCCCTCACTGCCAGAGGAGATGCCACAGGGAAATAAAACTTGCAGAATCTAGTATCCATTATGAGTCTCACAACTTGTATATCTCGGATTTTTTTTTTTCTAGCAGCAAGCGGCTGCGCCACTTGCTTTGCTGCGTGGTCATAAAATGCGGCACCAGCCAATTTGCTTTCGAATGGTGTTCGATTCAAATCGATGCGTCGTCTAGAAGCATAAATATGGACAGAAATGTGAAGAGAATTTAAAAAAGAACTGTTCTGAGGACTTCGTTGGATGAAATTTGGGTGATACGGGGTCAAGACGGGTCGAGGGGGTCACCCCCGGTCACTTTGGGTCAGGCCAGGTCACATAGGTCACCTCCCGTCCCATGGGATCAGCCCGGGCTACACTTCTATTTTTGCCTCCACCACTACCCCTACCCCTACCACTGCCCCTCCCCCTACCCCTACCACTACCTCTACCACTACCCCTACCCCTACCCCTACATCTACCCCTACCCCTACCACTACCACTAACCCTACCCCTACCCCTACCACTACCCCCCCCCCTACCACTACATCTACCACTACCACTACCACTACCCCTACCCATACCACTACCCCTACCCCTACCACTACTCCTACCCATACTCCTACCCATACTCCTACCCCTACCACTACTCCTACCCATACTCCTGTCTCCTACCCCTACCACTACCCCTACTACTACCCCTACTACTACCCCTACCACTACCCCTACTCCTACTACTACTCGTACCACTACCCCTACCCCTACCCCTACCACTACCCTACCCATACCACTACCCATACCCCTACCCCTTCCCCTACCAACACCGCTGGGTCATGTCAGGTCCCATAATAATTGGATCCAATCAGTACTAAAATATCAGACTTAAAGTGTTCCCAGCCCTGCCCCTATTCGTGCCATTCCATTACGTTCAATCGTATTTGTCGGAAATGACGCCTTGTGGCATATGTGGCGCATTGCGACAAACGCGGCGCATTTTCACCCGGCGATTGAGCATGCATCTTGGCACCAAATTGTACCCATATCGGACTATATTTGACAAAACTGTGCGTTTTGCGGCAAAAATGACGCCTTGGGACAGATGTGGCGCATTGCGGCAAACGCGGTGCATTTTTATACGTGTATCACAAACTGCTCCCATTGAAAGAAAATCAACACATTCTCTCGCCACTTTTCATTCAAATTAAAACCTGCCCATCCGCCAATGCGAGGCACCCGTCGCCGATCGGCATGCATTTAGTCCACAAAGTTCTTCGACCCTGGCTCTCAATGAAGATCTACGAACCGATCAGAATTTCAGTGGCGTTCTTCCGGCGCGCCCCACGCGCGAACCGTGCACCCCAGCGAGTCGGAACCTAGAAAAGGCACTGACCCGCTCTGTCACCTATAAGGTGTGCAAATTTCAACCCCCTACGATATACCGTCTGCCCTGTAGGCCGGCTGAATTGAGCCCACTACACGGCGTGGCGGACAGACAAACAAACAAACAGATGGATCCTGTTCAAATAGTAGTATAGACAAGCGGCTGCGCCACTTGCTTTGCTGCGTGGTAGGAAAAGATTGCGGCACCAGCCAATTTGCTTTCGAATGGTGTTCGTTTCAAATCGATGTGTTGGCTAGAAGCATAGATATTGGACGGAAATGTAAAGAGAATTATAAAAGAGCTGTTCTGGGGGCTTAGTTGGATGAAATTTGGCTGATAGGGGGTCAAGACGGGCCAAAGGGGTCAGCCCCGGTCACTTTGGGTCAGGCCAGGTCACATAGGCCACCTCTCGTCCGGTGGGATCAGCCCGGGCCACTGTTCTACTTTTGCCTCCACCACTACTCCTACCCCTACCACTACCCCTACCACTACCCCTACCTCTACCACTACCCCTACCACTACTCCTACCACTACCCCTACTACTACCCCTACCCCTGCCCCTACCACTACATCTGCCACTACCACTACCCCTACCACTACCCCTACCACTACCCCTACCACTACCCCTACTACTACCCCTACTACTACCCCTACCCCTACTACTACTCCTACCACTACCCCTACCCCTACCACTACACTACCCCTACCCCTACCACTACCCCTACTACTACCCCTACCCCTACTACTACCCCTACCCCTGCCCCTACCACTACATCTGCCACTACCACTACCCCTACCACTACCCCTACCACTACCCCTACCACTACCCCTACCACTACCCCTACTACTACCCCTACTACTACCCCTACCCCTACTACTACTCCTACCTACCACTACCCCTACCCCTACCTCTACCACTACACTACCCCTACCACTACCCCTACCACTACCCCTACTACTACTCCTACCACTACCCCTACCCCTACCCCTACCACTACACTACCCCTACCACTACCCCTACCCCTACCCCTACCAACACCGCTGGGTCATGTCAGGTCACAGAATAATTGGATCCAATCGGTACTAAAATATCAGACTTAAAGTGTTCCCAGCCCTGCCCCTGTTCGTACCATTCCATTACCCTTACTCGATTTTGTCGGAAATGGCGCTTTGTGGCAAATGTGGCGCATTGCGGCAAATGCGGCGCATCTGTACCTTTCGTTTGAGCATGCACCCTTGCACCAAATTGTACCCTTCTCGGGCCATATTTGACAAAACTGTGCGAGCTGCGGCAAAAATGGCGCCTTGTGACCAATGTGACGCATTGCGGCAAACGCGGTGCGTTTTTATACTTCTATCACAAAATCTTCCCATTGAACGAAAATCAACACATTCTCTCGCCACTTTTTATTCAAATTAAAACTTGC